CTAACTAATAGACTAGAAAATATACTTCAATTATACCAAATTCTCTTAATACATAACTGGGCAGCACTACTAGGATCTAGTACTTAATAACCAATACATATCCTTTGTGCAATTCAAGATGATGTAAGCAAACTCATAAACAAGCCTGGATCCTGAGTCTAGATATTGCCAAAGCATTCGACTTCATAAATATTTTCAGACTCAAAGAAGCCCTCAAAAGAATCAAATGTCCAAACAAAATTACTCAAATAATTACAAATATTTGTGATAACTGACAAAACTATGTACTCACACCTTTTGGACCCTCACTTCAATACACAGTAGAGGATGGCATAGATCAAGAAAACACAATATTACCCCTCTTATGGAGAATCTTCTATGATCCACTTATTATACATATCTCTGAACAAACCAGCAGATACACACTAACAGTGAAACAATAGTCAGATCCTACAACACCACCTACCATATAACACAAAACATTTTATGTATCGCTTTCATAGATGATACAATCCTATTTACAGAAAACAGCACCAACCTCCAAAAGATATGTGATATCTGTCCAGACTTCTATAGAATTAATGATATCAATATCAACATCACAAAATCAAATTTTATAGTATCAACACCAATAAACACTTAAACAATACAATCCAAATCCAAAACAAATCCATTCATATGCTCAAACCAAATCAAGCAGTAAGAATCCTAGATATTTATCTTGAAGATAGGGGAATCAAAGCCTTCCAATAACAACTAATCAGAGACAAGACTTACAAATATGCTAATATAATCAAATGGAAAACAACAACTGACAAACAAATTTGATACCTTCACAATCAAGTTTGGACATCAATGATCACATACCTGCTTTTAGATATGATCCTTACAAAGCCCAACTGTGACAAGATAATGAGAATCCACAACATAATCTACAAATATAAACTCCACCTAGTCCAATTTGCACCAAACTCCATATTTTTCAAACCAATGGAATATGAATTCTTCCATCTTTGGGATAGGCAACTCCTATTACATGCAAACAACTGGTACAAAAGAGTCAACAGACAGGACATAATAGGAAAAATCACAACTATGTACCTACAAGAACTACAAAATAGATGTTGATCTACCAAAATCATCACGAGCATCCACTTCACAAACACCTTCCTTTCACAGGACCACGATTTTACACATTGTCATGGGCTATCCCAGTGAGTCTGTCACTAATCCATAGTGTTTCACGTACCCAGACTTCTCAAGAATACTCACAAATGACACAAAGAAGAGAACGCCTCCTATAAAGAACACTTAGGGAAGGCAAAGACATAGTGATTGACTTGAATGAAGATAAGTGTCTCTTTATTGCATTCTGTTTCTTTGATATATCACTAACTCTTATTTCTATTCTCAATAAGGGCTGTTTTTCCTAACACATTTAGCTCTGCCTTTTCAGTATACATTGGTAAGCTATTTGTACTTTTCTATCTAACAATGGCTATCTACTTTATAATCGGCTATACTAATCCTAAGCTTTACTAAACTTTCTATACTTTTCAGATACATACAGTTCCCTTATTAGTATCCAAGCCTTATCTATAGTTTCTTACCTTGCAACATTCAATCTTTCATGTCAGACTTTTGGGTTTTTGAATTCTAGACTGTTATACGTAAATCAAGTTACACACATGACCCATAACAATAGGATCTAATCCATCTCCTTAGACAAAATGGATTCACAGGACCAACTTCCATCTTCAGGTGATCAAAAAGACAGACACAATAATAGAAGAAGTAACAGACCCAGGCTGATACAACAAACATCGAAAATAGCAAACAAATAACCAAATTTTCTTTATTAACCAAATCATCAACTATATAGGATCACATCTGGCCATCTGGGTAGAGATCACAACCCCTAACAAAAAACCTAACAGGAAAAAACCAACATGGTTCTGGAAGCTATAACAAAATCAAGAGATAGCCAGACTAATATAGAATAAATACACAAACAATAATGTTACGAAACAAATCCAATGACTAGCCATAGAAACATCAAACCAGAAAATCAAATGGATTACTACAATACAAACAGATGAAAGTATCATCTGTAGGAAAAAGGTTATCACCAACAACACTGTCAAATTATAGCACTACATATGTAGCAACAATAACTTACCTCTCTAGAAATGCCAAGGATGTACCCTAAACATATCTGGAAAACAAGGGGAATGCATCTTCTTCAAGGAAAAAAACAGTCTCATCTGCATCCTAGTACACAAAAGAAGAACTAGCTCTAGGGACACACCTAGTCACAACCTTCGACAATGCAGTAGAATCTTACCCAACATTTTAAATAAACTGCTTTTAGACAAACTAGTCCACGACAAACTCCCACTACCTCCCACTATCAACAACAACCCTATATTACACAACAAAAAACTTATCAAAAAATTCATAGATACAACAGAAAGCACACTCACCGAACTGGCAACTATCCGACAAATAATCTACAAACTCAAAAACATTACAATATACACTGATGGCTCCTTGGACACAGATCATAGAATGGGTTTTTGAATGGCACATTACCCAAACCCTAGGAATAAACTTAAAAGAGAAAATACACAATTACTTTTCCTACATAAAAGCTGAATTAGCCACTATCACATTATTCTTAATAACAGCTCTAGTAAACAGCAACATTATAATATGTAGTGACAGTCAAATAGCATTTGATACCATCTCCAAAGCTCAAGAAAACCCAACCACTATCAGAATACTCAAAAATAGTACTCTAATCAATATAATCAATCATATCACTAAACAATAAAGACTTAATATTATATAAAAAAAAATCAAAGCACATAACAATGACCTAGACAATAACAAAGCCGACATGCTCACCAAGAAGGCAACAATCACGGGCAAAGCCTTAGAAATCAACTTTATTTCTATAAAAGATAGCCAGAACCCATGGATCCAAGAGTGGAATAGACAAGTCCTAGATAACACAATATCAAAAACTGCAAGAAATCTTATCAAAGCAAGGCACATCTTCAGCTGGAAAATGTTAGACCATAATCTAATCTCAACAAACAGCAATATACTTCAAAGTATAGCATGGGCAGAAACAATGATTCACAAACCTTCATTTCAAATAATAACAGGTGCCACTAACAAACTGGATTACAACATTAGATCTTTCAGACTTAGGCTATGGAACTTAGAACTGCCGACCAAAGATAAGCTATACAAAAGGGCAGCAACAACATATAAAGACAACCTATGTATCAACTGTCAGAACATCTAAACCAATACTCATGCAATTTATATGAAGGCAATGATACAGACATCTTCAAAAAACTACTCCAAATAATCAATGAGGAAATTAGTTGCAGAAAAACAACAAACCTCTCATAAAATACTGAACAACAAACTAAAAAAAATGAAAGTGAATGGATTTCTGAGGAAAGAAACTATATTGCAAGGGGGGCACTAACAAAAGATCTCTTAAAAGTAATAAAGGAACACACAACAGCAGAAAACCAAAAAAGAAATTCTCAAAATATCACAGATAAATTCTTGTCCATCCTTCAGGACAAATGGCAACTAAGGTACCAACACTTTCACAATGAGAAACAAACCAAAACATAATTAAAAAAGATAAAGAAAAATGGAAAACACTAGACAGAAAAATCACTTCGCACAAATCATACATCCTAGGAATCAATGAAATTATGAAACACTTCAGTCAATACTGGATCAACTGGAATACATTATACTCTTTAAAAACAAATTTTTATGGAACAGGTAGAGCCTTGGCAGATTAGTCAAGTATATACCAGTACTTGACAATAAGCCACATGGTAGGACTTTCCTTAGTGAGTTTAATTAATTAAGTAGCTAGAGAGTTAAATTTGTATAAAATAAATTTGTACATACTCACAACAATATCTAATAAACAAGGTGTAAGCCACCCAGTTAAAAAAAATATTATAGTATAACTATCAAAGTTTAGAATATTATCTACTTATATTCTTCTATAATACTGAAAAGATAAACCAAGAAAATTAATTGGCTGCTATTAATAAAAATTTAGAATCTTATTTAGAAAAAATATTTAATTTTAATATTAGAAAAAGTTGAAGTTTATAGTTCAGATAGCTTCAACAACAAAATAAATACTTTGGCTAACAGATCAAAAAATCAAAAAATATGACAATGTATATCAAATTTAAAAGAAAAAATTTTATCGCAATACAAAATACTCTAATATTAATATTAAAAATTGTTAAATACTGGAATCAAAAAAAAATTAAATTGGATCAAACAAAAAAAAAAAATTTTTTTTAAAACAGTAAAGAGTAAAAAATTAAGATAGATTAAAAATTTTTTTGAATCAGTTCAATACACAATTATTAATGATTTTATAAAATGTCTAATTGTTATCTGGATCTTTTTATACATTCAGTGTATTGTACATTTTAATATTTCGCCAATATTTTATTATTTACCTTATGAGATCTAACCATTAGTTCAGATTAGATGGCAATTATAAATATGAATAAGGATTTTATTACCATTAAAATTTGATTTCATACCTGCTATTAAATTCTCACTAGGTGAATCATACATAATCCGCAAATTTTTTTAATGTTGTGAACGATATATAAATCTTATTCCAGAAAGTAATATATAAATAATGAAGTTGCTCAAAAATCTTTATATTGACTCTGATAAATAATTTATATAACGACAATGGTAAAAAATATGTATTAACAAAAGGGAAATGCACGTGTAATTTACTTTAGGAACGATGAAATAAATAAATTTCATAAACAAACCAAATAGATGGATTTATAAACTATTTTTATGCACAGTTTCATAGAAATCATAATGCAGCACTTCTGTAATGACAGTCCGATTTAAGCGCAATAATTCTTATGAACTTTCCAATCTTGTTTTTGATGTTCTTTGCTACAATACCAGGTACCTTTTCATTTGGCACAAATTTTATATGCTTTTTTCTTACACACTGGATATATATTTGCAACGCTTGGGTTTTTTATAAATGAAAATAACCTAAGTTCGGCCTCCAATGTTGCTTTAGGAGGGAAATCAAATGGACCGAATACTGGTAGTCGTTTTTTTTCTGCTTCAAGACCACGGTCGTAAAATTCTTTGGCCTTTTTAAAATCTTTTAAAGATCTATAGCACATTGCCATGCCGTAAAACGTCTCAGTGATTTTGCGATCTTCGGGCGGAGCAAATTTGAGGAAAGTTTCATAGTCGGACAAAGAATGTTTATAATATGAACGTTCAGGATTATTGGATATTTTTTTTTGTGAAAAATTAATGTAAACCAAAATTTTATCTGCGAGTAATCTATTTGCAACTGCACGTGAATAATAGCTTTCATATCCTTGTATAGAACCACAAATTTTTATCACCATGTCAAAATCTTCAATTGCTTCTTCATATCTCTTATCAAAGCATTTCATAGATCCCTGATATTTATAATATGTTGATTCGAGAGGGGACAAAGCAATACACTCATCCATTAAACTGAAAACCATCTCATGAGAATTTCCAAAGCTAAAATACGTAAATGCTAAGACAAATTTTGCTTCTGCATTACACGGATTGTTAGCAATGAAAAATTTCAAAATATCAATACTCCCATATTTCATATAAATAGGTTTTGTGCTGCAAACCAACTCACAGAGCTTATATGCTTGAAACTGTTCGTGAATTGCTACCTCGATGTCCCCTTTAATAAAAGCTTCGAAGCTTTTAATGTCATGTAATTTTGCTCTAGCATGATTCGACCAACTTTAGTATTTGCATATCGTTTAAGATTCTCTAATGAATATCTTTCATTAGGTTCCCTGATTATTTCCGAA